GATTGATGGGGCCATGGAGACTGAGCTACTTTCTGATTCCTAGAGCTGGTCCCTCTAGGTCAGGGCTGAGGCATATTGTTGTGTCTGTATGGGGACACTTGCCCATCTGCTGCCCATGCACATCCCATTCCTGCAGGATGCTGATGAAATCTGTGGCGCTTCTCACAAGCACAGAGTCCACCCGCATGACTCTGATGGCTGGTGTGACAATGCTGCCTGTGCCTAAACAGAGGATTTCAGCCCCTGGGGCTGTCGGGCCAATGCCTTTGGGGAGCTCTAATTTGCAGTCTATGGGACTTTATGGTGGGCATAAGGATCTGAACTATAGGCTCCTTCCTAATGCAGGACCTTACAGAACCTCTTTCAAATTCTCAAACATTCAGTAACACTCTTCGATCCCCAACTTCTCCGCTATGGCAAAGGGTAGAAAAAATACTGCACGTTGATCACCGTATGTGATCTTGTGCTTAAAATCCTCCTTGGTGGCTTCACTTTGGAGCAATGTCCGTCCTAAGAGGATAAAATGTTCTAATTAAAGTTTATGCTTAGCAGGGATATAATCATAGTCATTGGCTTTAAAATGTCCTCAGTCTTCCGTCTTGAAGAATCCCAAGACCTTTACTTGTTGCAATTAAATACACTGGAATTTACTGTCATTGCGTTGGCTACTTGAAAGAAAAGTTCTTTGAAGACTGAGAAGTATCTGAGCAGCTGTAGTAATGCTCCCTACACAAAAGCAGTGCTTTCAAAACCAGGCTGCTGTCTCCTAAGCAAAATGAAAACCTTCTGAAAACCTGTTTAAAGCTGAGCCCCGATAGACTGAATTCACGAAACAGGGTTTCCCCTAACTTACACAAGTGAAATCACACTTTACTGGGAATTTCATTTCCCTTTTGGCATCTCTGACAAAATGGCGTCATTTTTTAATGTCCATTTTAATGTCCATGTTCTTTGGTGTCATTTTTTAATGTCCATTGTTACGTAGTTTAACAAAAGTAGGAATGAAGTTATCCAGGTGAATTCTAATAATCCAGATGTCTCATGGGACACCGGAAATGTTTGCTGTGTCCATGTCATTAAAATAAATTGTGGTTTTTCTATGAACTTCAGTTCCAGGGGACAAGAAATCAACTTTGGATAGTCCAGAATTTTGGTTAACTGATATTTGAATGATCAGATTTTTATCTAGTGATAGAAATGTAGCTGTGTTAGTCTGGTGTAGCTGAAGCAAAATACAGGACTATGTAGCACTTTAAAGACTAACAAGATGGTTTATTAGATAATGAGCTTTCCTGGGCCAGACCCTCTTCCTCAGATCAAATAGTGGAATTTGTGACTATTTTCTTCCACTATTTTCTTCCACTATTTGATCTGAGGAAGTGGGTCTGGCCCACGAAAGCTCATCACCTAATAAACCATCTTGTTAGTCTTTAAAGTGCTACATAGTCCTGTATTTTGTTTCAGATTTTTATCTGTATGATGACGGGGGTAGTTGTCTGATTGGTTTCTGTCATTACAAGTTTTTCTGGCCTGACTTCTTAGAGAGATAAATATGTTAAATTATGACTCATATAGTCAATAATAATCTACAGGTCTTATTTAATCACTGTTATAGTAATCAAAAACTATTTCAAGCCAAGCTTTCTACATGCTGACAAGGGAATAGAATCAGAGATGTGTTGGAATCCCCTTGGGATGTTCCTGTAATTATCAGTTTGATGTGCTACACGTGTGGATATTACCATGACGGATAGCAGGCCAAAATGTTAAGATAGACATATGGAAAATGTGAAATCTGTACTAGACTGAAGATATTTGAGCTGAGGGTAAATTAGGGCATTTTGCAGGATCGGGCCCTGTTATGGGATTTTGTGCAGCAGGTAGCTCTCTTCCCACTTGTTTCCTTTCTTAACTGTCATGGAAAATAATAACCTGTGATACTGTAAAATATAATTTATGGTTTGGAAATACTGCAGAAAATGTGATAGCATGGCCTTAGGGCCATACCTTGTAAACACTGCAAGATGTAGGCTATGCCCTGGAGTAATACTATTTCTGGTAGGATATATTACAGCTCAGATGCTAGCTACCAGTGTGTTTTTTTTCACTGGTATTGCATGTTGCCACTTCCCTTGTTCATTTAATATACTGCAACATGGGGCGTTTCTTTAAATGCTCTTGGCTAGATCTTGTTCTCTTAATGCTGAGTTGAAATCTGTGCTCCTTTGTCATTGCAATTCACCTACCTTACACGGGATAACTGCTCGTGCTTGGGGCAGATTCTGAGGTCTCTGAAATTCTTAGGAAACTTAATGACTAGTAATTGCGGTGTTTTGAAAAAATAACTAGCGTGAAAGGGCCCAGTTCTGCTCCCACACTGCAAAACTCCCATTGAACAGAATGGGCCCCTTTACACTAGTTCTTTTTCTAATTTAGAGGCTGTCTTTTAAAAATACATACATACTTTATAAGACCAAGATTTTCAAAAGCAACTGACGATTTAGGATGTCCTACTTTAAGGCGCTTCTCGCCTGATCCCCCACCCTACCTATCATCTCTCATGCAGTTTTGAAAAGCAGACTCCTGTCTATGATCAGCCTGTGCTGCCCAGCCTCTATCATCCACCTGTCACATTTTCAAACAAACATCTCCATGCTTTTGCCAGAGTTGCCTGACGGGTTTGGGATTTGCTCCCTATCAATGTCCACAAAGCACCTCATTGGCTTCCATCAACACCTTCCTTAAAATTCTCTTTTGTCGTGAGGACTCTAAGAAATTTGACAAAGGTTAGGCAGCTGGGATGCGGCAAGATGCGGTGATCAGAGCCTGTCATGCCCGACAAACATTGTTTCTGTTGCCCTGTATGCATCAGTCAATCTGTCTGTATCCTTCTGACAATGCTGGTTTTGTACTAACATTCCAAATTCTCTGGGTGAGGGATGCTCTTTTTGTTCTGTCATACTGCCCCCAAACACAACATAGTCCATGACTAAGTCTCTAAGGTATAAATGCTGATGCTAACGCATGAGACACTTTAAGTGACCTTGTTGTTCAGAGAGTAAATTCTCAGTTTTGTTCTGAAAATCAGGATCCTTTAAGGTGTCTCAAGAAGGACACGTTTGAAAATCTTGGTCTAAATGTCAAAATTCCTTGACCCATATTATGATCTGACCACTTGCCAAGCATCAAAGCTTTTCTACACAAAGCTATTTAGAGACTGAAGCTGCAACAATTCCTTTCCGTTTTTTCCTTTTAGCCCTAAGGATTGTCAAAGGCTTTTCCACATTTACCATTAATGCGCATTTAAATGTCTTCCGTGCTATGCCACATACTATTTTCATCCTTTCAGTTGATGTTTTGCCTACTACTACAAAACCGACAGAGAAAACACCGCCCCCAAAGAAGCCTTCGGGGTGCAGATCCTCCGGCACAGCCTCTGTAAAAAGGAAAGGTAGGGCATTGCCTTTCGCTGGGCATCTTTGCAAAATGTAGCCTGGGCCAAATCGAGTGCATTTCAGTTTCAGCCCACGGAGTCACAGTAGGGATGAAGCTGCCTCAGTATATTCCATTTTCTTAGCTGCCGTGATGTAGATCTGGGGTGAAGTGTAGGGCATTCTCTGGATGATAAACAGTCATGAACCACTGCCCAGAACTGTGCCAGGTGCCTAAAAACACAGGGTCTGGTCTCTCTCACTGATGCCATTAGCATGTCTGTAGCTGACAGAGCCTCAGTACCTGGGATTTCCCCTGGCCTTAGGGACCTGCTTCAAAAGGGGAGTCCTCTACCCCAGCGGGGACTCTAAGAAAAAGAGAATATAGCTCAAGCTAACCATACACAGGCCAGTCTGCTTCTCCCCACAGCCCAGTCACTGGCCCCTCTAGATCCATGGAGAATTGGAGGGACCCCATGGGATTGGAGGGGAAAGGCAGGACTGTAACCCTGAGGTAGCTGAGCCCCTTCTGCAGGAAAGGGGACAGATCTGTATGTAGCTCTGGAGACACAATGCCCCCTCCCACGTCCCAGGAGAGTTTCTGTCAGAGGTAGTGTGTGGAGCCGGCACAGTCTGCCAGCTGCTTTTGCTTTCTGTAATATGCACTGTATGTTTCTTTTGGTTTAAGGTTCTTCCTGCAGCGGCTTCATCTGGGCCCCATTAGGGGCATGTGCTGTTATTTTATTGGTGTCTCTGGTTGGTGTTATCTACCGCTTTCAGCGTAAGTGTTGGGCACTCCTCGGAGGAGGGTTTCTCCATATGTGGAACTCACCTTTCCGGCACCGAAGGGGGCCCATTCCCCTGCCCCAAGGCCTGCAGAGAGTCTCTTGTGAGCCCAGAGATCCATTTGGGAAGGAAGCAGAAGGTGGGGGAGACAGGTCTCACAGGAAGCCCATTATGCACCCCAAACCCCATAATTCATGCAGCCTGGGGCTGTGTGCCCACATATCCCAATGTGGGGGGGAGTGTTACAGGTCCCTGCTCTCTGCTCATCCACAGAAGAATGTGTCTGTGACAAATCTCCAGCTATTGCACTCCACTGGCTCCAGCTTTTAGCTCTGGAGAGCCCCAGTTCAATCCCAGGCGCATCAGCCAAGATGGTGGCTGACTCACATTTCAGCTCCTCATCCCAGCACAGAGGAGAACCCTTCAGACAGGGCCTCCAGGGGCAGCTGCAGGCTGGGGCTCCCTGGCAGGACACCTCTGGCGGGGGACGGGATGCTGAGGAGGCAGAGATGTCAGGGACTGGGGGCAGGGAATATCAGGAGTTCAGGAGAGTCCCATGTGGGGTGGGAGCACGAGGAGCTGAGGCCTAAGTTGTTGCCTATCTCCTTCCAGGCCTGCGCAGGAGAATGAGGCTTCAGTTCCGCAAACAGTAAGTGCGCCGTACACTGTAACTCAGCTGTGCTTTTCTTCCCCATCAGCCAGCACTAATGCGGGGGGGACCTAATGGGGGGGGATCCCACGAGGTGCTGAGCACCTATGTGCTGCTGAGTGCTGACTCCTCAAGTGCTGTCAGCTCTTGTCAAAGTAACTGGGAATTGAGGACCCTCGCTAGAAGCAGCCAGCACCGCACAGAACCGAGTGTCTCTGAGTAACTCCTTTGCTGATGAAGGCATCCCACAGGACAGGGAGGCCACCTGTGTGTTATCCCGGCAGCTGCCTAGTTTTCACTTCACTCATGCTAGACCCAAGAGGGGCATTTTCTCTTTGCCTTCTCCCCAAATGTGGGCTGTGAAAAGTGCCCAAAGCTTAAACATGAGCCTGTTCTCACTAGAGACGGGCTGAAAGCAAGCCCTCCATCCAAAGCTCCCTCCTGGCCACAGCTTCGGGTGCCTGGGCAGTATATATTACAGCTAGAGCTTCGAATACCCCCAAGGTGAGCGGGAATTGGATGTGAATCAGAACGTCGCATCTCAGGCCCGCCTGCAGACAGCACGGAATGGACCATAGAGACGTAGGGCACATCCCAAGTCATGCTGTTGGCCAGCAGGATCCAATCTGCACAAGCGTCTCTGGTGCTTCTCGATGCTTTGCCCGAGCCGCAGGATAGTCTGAAATCTGCTCTGGGTGTGGCCTCTTCCTCTGTCTATGACGGGAAGTGAGGAGCAGCATGTGGGCAAAACTCAACACTGTGGAGCGGCCCAGAAAGGAGGTCAAGCTACAGCGGCTCCCCTTCTTGGCCAGAAAGGGATTACTGACAGCAGGGCAAGAGGCATGATGAGCAGCTGCTGAATGGAAGTCAGAAAGGAAGAGTTGGGTTGTAGGTCCACAGACGCCTCCTGTCAGGGAGACCTGTGACGCTGAAGAACGGTCTCCTAAGAGAGGGGGAAAGGAAGTCCCAGAAATCTGGCCACGTAAGGCCAGAATAAATGGGAGGGGACTGTCCCTTCCAGCTGGGAGAGACTCACTGCTCTGTCCTCAGCAGGGAACTGCTGCTGTCACTGAGGGAGAAATGCCTCTCCCCCAGCCAGGCCGTGCTGCCATGCAGCTTAGAAGGAACCTTGCCCTTGACAGGCACAGGATAACAGAGAGGGGCACGGGGTGGGCTACATGAAGCACCGTAACAGCCTTTCATGACAGGAGAGCCATGTGACAATGTCCCCAGGGCCAAGGCCACCCCACAACATTTTGGCACCTGAGGTGGGGCGCTCAAATGATGCCCCCAAGCCGCCTCGCTTGGGCCAACACTTTGAAAGGTCTCAATTCTGCCTTCTTCCTGTTCTACTCTCGTGGTATTGCAGAGCGAATACATATGCACCAGCAGCAGACACAATTTTCTACCCTCTGGGTCCTAGTTGTGCCCCCCCCCCCCCCCCCCCCACAGTCTGGCACATGAGGCGGCCACCTCAGTTTGCTTTATGGTAAGGCCAGCCCTGCCCAGGGCCTGTGGTGACCCTAGACGGGATTGTTCACAAAACAGAACAAAAACCTCATAGACTGCCTCCTCCTGATAGCAGGACTCTCACTCCAGCCCCACATCTAGCTCCACGGAGCTCCGTGGACCTGCTGTCTCTGACGCCCTGCCCAGTAGCCTGTCCCCGGCTTTGCTCAAATGGCCCCGTGCCACCGTCATCAGGACTGCGTGACAGGTGGTTGACTCCCTTCATCTAGTTCTTGCTGCCCCCCACCACAGTCCGCATGGGTCTGCTGGGTGAACAGGGCACGTATGCCATCCCAGTTGGTCAGCAAGTGAAGGAAAACCATCTCCCACTCAGGGAGAAACCCAGACAGCTCCCTACAAAACAGCAAGGCTGTGTCTACACTGCACCCCTTTTCCGGAAAAGGGATGCAGATTAGACACATCGGAATAGCAAAATCCACAGGGGATTTAAATATCCCCCGCTGTATTTGCATTAACATGGCTGCCGCTTTTTTCCGGCTTGGGGATAAGCCGGAGAAAAACGCCAGTCTAGACGTGATTCTCCGGAAAATAAGCCCTTTTCCGGAGGATCTTTTATTCCTACTTGAAAGGGCTTATTTTCCGGAGAATCACGTCTAGACTGGCGTTTTTCTCCGGCTTATCCCCAAGCCGGAAAAAGGCGGCAGCCATGTTAATGCAAATACCGCGGGGGATATTTAAATCCCCCACGGATTTTGCTATTCCAAAGTGTCTAATCTGCATCCCTTTTCCGGAAAAGAGGTGCAGTGTAGACACAGCCCAAAGGTTATGTAGTGGGGCCCTAAAAGTGAATGGGAACAGCTGAGGAGCTAAGAATCTTGTACAGGTGAGGGATGGCTCATTGTCTTCTGTGCAATGGCTTTGTTGATGGAAGATCAGCACATGCCATTGCTGTTGTTCTGGGTCACAAATGACTTACTAGGTTAGCACCATTATGTCTGATTTTTAATGGCTCTCAGTTTTCCTTTTGCCAGGCTGCTTTGTGTTCATTATTACTAGGATTCTAGTAATGCCAACATACCAGTAGCATAGTCTGAAAAGGGCAGTATCTTCTGTTTTGTTCCTGGACTTTGGCCCAGACTACTGAAGTATTTAGGCATGTAAATCCCACTAGAATCAATAAGAAAGGCACCCAAATATGTGGAGGATCTGGACGTTTGTGCTTTGCAGCATGTCTCTGCCAGCAGGGTTAACATCTTTGTATCTCCCGGTACTTTAGGGTACTTAAATAAGATGAATGCCTGGAGGATTCTTCTGTGTTGCATATCAAGTACCTACTGTAAATGCCACATGAGCTCAACACCTGGAACACATGCGCCAGGAGGAATGTTACGGAAAATTATCTGAGACTTGAAATGCAGAGCAGATATTTGCTGTCTGGGATCCACCTATCATGCACCACCACAGTACTAAGTGTTCAATTACTTACTACAGCTACTTACAAATTGTAGAGCAGGCCCAGTGCCACATGCCTCCTTATTGCCTTCAATTCCCTCTAAAATCCTGGGGCCCTGAGGCTGTACAGCACCTTACAGAAGTGACCCCTGGTTTGCCGTGTGAATTGTCATGTACAATATGGTGTAAATAGTATTTTTGTACAATGTGCTAAAAAATTCTTCTAAAGAGCTTCACTGCACTCTATTCATTCAATTTCACCTAATAAAATAGCATCTGAGTGGATTTTTAGATTCTTTTTTTGTCCCGGTAAAGCGAATTGCTTAGCATTTTATTGAATATGCAGGTCACTTTCAGAACAGCCTCTTGGGAGCATGCTAAGAAGGTTCACCATATACTTCAAGAGCTGAGCAAAAATTTCTGGATGAATTGTTTATTCACGGATAAATGAAGCTTCAGATCAACCAAAACTATTCCTGAATTTGGGTCAAATTTGCCAAATAATTTTGATGGGGAAAAACTGTTGTTTTCAAAGTCCAAAGTTTCACATGGATAATTTTAAAATGAAATATTTTGAGTTTTTGTTTGGAAAGATTTCATTTAGAAATGTAAGTAGACTTATGGCAGGGAGGAGGGGGAGAAGGAACAAGAGGGTAAAAAAACACTGAAAATGAAATTAAATTAAAAAAAATACAGGTCAAACAAAAACTTCAACCCAAAATTAATTGTAATTTTTTGAAGGTTTTCATTTCAGCTGACAAACTAAAAACAAGAAAAGAATTATTTGCTGAGTTCTATGTACTTCATGGCCTAGAGTACTGGTTACCAATCTAAAATTAGGGCCATCTTTCACCTGATGTTGCTTGGAGAAAAAATGATTATTGGTATAACACTAACTATATCTGTAGCTTGGGATTCCAAGCTCTTTGACACTATAAAAATATACCAAGAGCTTATCTGAACACAATTTTTTTGCCACTTTAATGAGATGTGATCCAAACTGCTCTAGTTAAAGTGATTCAATGCCTTAGCTTGGAGGCAGTGGTGCTGACATAAAAGTGTTTATGCCAGTATAGAGTGCTTCCGTAAATGTAGGATTTTGTATTCCTCCAGTCACCAATCACATCCCTAATAGCAAAATGTAAATCAGAACAAAACCTGTGTGTCAAGTTTACAATGTAATAGATAAGACAGACACAGAGATCAGGTCACGCAGCAGGTTAATAGCAGAGCCCAAAATAGAATCAGTGTCTCCTGATGGTTAGTTGAGTGCCCCTTGTTCACTAAGCCCCGTGGCCTCCCTTTAGACATGGTTTCTAGTTCCACATGGACCAATGGATTCTACTCTCCAGCTTCTTAGCAAGATTCTTCTGGCCTTTTAGAACATGGGGGTTCTCTCCTCCACACACCGTCACCATCAACCTCCTCCTCAATGCAGTAAGCACAACAGCTTCCATACTTACTTCTTACACATAGTGGGTGGGTGGTTGTTGTTCAGGAAGTAATCCCTAGAGATGTGCGTAGGGTGATTCTTCTCCATCACAGGCAATAGCCACCGATGTTTTAAACTGCATTTAGTCAAACAGAAAGGTACCCAGTAAACCTCATTTCCACATTGTGGGTGGAAAGGAAAGAATCATGCTTGTATTGATGGGTAGGAAAAACCTACATACACTATTTCACTTTCTTCTGAGTGCATTGGACTGACCTAGCCAGCATCTCAGTAGCGCAAGGAGTTCCAGAGTACGTCTATACAGCAGCATTATTTCAGAGTAACTGCCATTATTCTGAAATAACGTCGTGCGCATCTACACAACAAGCCTTTATTTCGAAATAATGTCGAGCTGGAGGACTTCTTACTCTGACTCCTGTAGCCCTCATTTCACAAGGAGTAAGGGAAGTGGAAGGAAGAGTTTTCTTCCTTTGACTTTCTGCTGTGTAGACAGCACCAAAAGCCAAATGAAGCTATTTCAACATCAGCTATGTAATTGACGCAGCTGAAGTTGCATAGCTTAATTTGACTTTAGCCCTGCGGTGTAGATATACCTCCATAATGCCCATCACCATCATATCTGAGCATCATTTCTGTAGCATTCATTTAACATTGTGCCAAAAATCATATTTACTAAGGTTGAATATCTTATCCCACTATCGTGAAAAGCCCAATAATGTTTGAGATTATTAACTGGCATCGTATTCACTATTCTTTCTAAAGCACCACAGATGTGTATGTTGCTTTATAGCCATGGCCCTGAGAGTTTACAATCTAAGTGCCTAATCCCGCAAATCACCTTCTTATCACCGTTAGAGCTGTCTGTCATGAGTTAGCCTACTGGAAATGCATGCACAAAAATTTCCCAATAGGCTAATTGTGTTTGGGATCAGCCCCTAACACTTTGCGCTACTTGTTTTATTGACTCAGAAGAGTAGCGCGTTGCAGTTATCAAAGATAATGAAATACTGAAGCACATCAGTATGTAGTTGACAGAAACAGTAGTGCTTTCACAGCCAAATTAAGATGGAGATTTTCTAAAGATCCCAGTGATTTGGGATTTCCCAGCCAGAGACACCTTAAAAGGACATGAATTATTAGAAAGCCCAGAAAAATCCACCCTCTGACACTTAGGCACCTTTTTGTTTTTAAGTTTTGGGTGTCTGACATTTTAAGTCAGACAGACGAAAGTTTCCCAAGCAAAATACAGGAATATGTAGTACTTTAAAGACTAACAAGATGGTTTATTAGATGATGAGCTTTCGTGGGCCAGACCCACTTCCTCAGATCAAATAATGGAAGAAAATAGTCACAACCATATATACCAAAGGCTACAATTAAAAAAAAGAACACATATGAAAAGGACAAATCAAATTTCAGAACAGAGGGGGGATGCGGGGGGGGGAGGTAAATGTCTGTGAGCTAATGATATTAGAGGTGATAATTAGAGGTGATAACCTCTAATATCATTTGCTCACAGACATTTACTCTCCCCCTCATCTCCCTTCTGTTCTGAAATTTGATGTGTCCTTTTCATATGTGTACATTTTTTTTATTGTATCCTTTGGTATATATGGTTGTGACAATTTTCCTCCACAATTTGATCTGAGGAAGTGGGTCTGGCCCATGAAAGCTCATCAACTAATAAACCATCTTGTTAGTCTTTAAAGTGCTACATAGTCCTGTATTTTGCTTCAGCTACACCAGACTAACACGGCTACATTTCTATCAAAAGTTTCCCAGTCACTTTAAAAAGTTTGGCCTAAATTTTCATTGACATGCTTCATTGGCAGCACGGGCAGCGTCTCAGTTCTGGCTGGCTGGCAGAGAAACCCTCGGAGGCATGAGCATGAAAACCCAGCTGAGGAAGGCAAGCCCCAGTCCCGCCCCTTCCACTTGAGGCCTCACTCCCGGAACGAAGTGCTGCCCACCCCCAGCTTGATCCTGCCTGGCCATGTGGCGAGTCGGGGCTATCGTGATGCCCCCAACCCTGCTCTCCCCAGCAGCTGATGAAAGCCATGCTTCCCCATCATGGCCCCATTCCCGCCTCCCCTCCTCCCCCTGAGAGCCAGGCTGCTGAACTGAACTGCCTTCCCCAGGAGCCAGGGGAGCCAGGCTGCTGTGCTGTGGCTCCAGCCTTCCCCAAGGGCCAGGGAGAGCCCGGCTGCCCAGGTTCCAGCCTTCCCCGGGGCCCAGGGAGAGCTGGGCTGCCACACCATGGTTCCAGCTTTCCCCGCCGGCGGCCCCAGCCTTAGGCAGTCGGTCATGTGCTTTCCCTTGCCTACATTACCAACCGCCCATGCCCGGAGGCACCGGTCCCTCACTGCACTGTGTCTGATAGTGTCTGGGTCTGACCGTGAGAAGTGCTGAGTGCCTGGGAGTTGAAGGAAGGGACTGTCATGTGGTGCACGGTACGTCTCGTGACCTCAATGCCTGAGGCCGAGCTGGAGGGCAGTGCATTGGTACAGCAGGGTTTGAGAAGAGACTGGCTTCTACAAGGCCATGTGTACAAGGAGGGCGCTACTGAGGAGCAGCTGTACCAGTGCAGCGCCTCTGTTGACCATGCTCGGTGCTGACGGGAGGGAGCTCTACCGCCGACATAGTGTAGCGCACACGTGCTTATGTCAGTGAACTGTCTGTCGCTTAGGTGTGGCTTATTCACACTGCGGAGTGACACAGGTTATGCCGGCACAGGCCTTAGTCAAACTAGAACCTCCTGATGGGGGTAGAAAAGCCTACACAGTTTTTCAGAGTTTCCTCCACAAAGTCTCACTAAATACTCAGATGAATCACCACTAACCAGGCAGGGTATTCTCACAGCATCGCTCCCTGGGCTGCCTATATTCCTCAAGCACAGCTGGTAGTTTCAGGGTGAAGTCAGCATCACCACGTCAGTTGCTTCTTGTTGTTGCCATAAACAAGCAGACTCTGAGAACAGTGCGTCAGCTCCCAGCTCCCAGCCAGGTGCATGGAGACTTCCTGTCAGGACTGCTTTACTTAACATAAACCACAGGGGAAATCCTGATGGTGCTGAGCATCTGTAGTTTTCTTTGATTCTGATGCAGGCTGTGACTTAGCACTTCCCAGGATCTGGCCCATTAAGTCAGCTTTACATCTACAAAATGCCTTGAAAAGTATGGTTCCAAATGTCACTCTGCTATTGAAATGCTTAGGCCATGTCTACACTAGGAAATTATTTCAAAATTACTAAATTCGACTCAAGAATTCCCAATCTTACAAATTCGAAGTTCTGTGTCCTCACTACAGGGAAGCATCGAAATTAGTCCGAGGCTCCGTTAATGTGGACACACTACCTCAGATTCAGAGCCCAAAGAAGCACTCTGTGGAGCTGTGGGAGATAGGTCGAATTAGCAGCACACTAACGTTATTTCAGACTTACAAGTTCAGAATTAGCGTCATTCCTGATGAAAAGCAGGAGTACGGAGTTCAAATTCCATGGCTCATTATTCAAAAATAGCAGGCTTGGTAGTGTGGATGCACTGCTTACTAATTTGAACTTAGAGTGGAAGGGTTATTTCAGACTAAGGTCCTAGTGTATATCAGGCCTAAGGGCTTGATCCTGCCAGGGGCTGGACATGGCCTGGTAATTTCCTGCATCTCACAGGATTGGGATCTTGAATAATAATAAAATAAAATAAAATAATAAAGAGAAACAGCATCCATCAGAGGCAGGGACAACTCAATGAGTATTTTGCCATTGATTTTAAGGGTGTAAACATAAAACTTTTTAAGAGAGCAGAGATTGCAGGTTCCCAAGTCTGA